ACAAAATTCTCACAACTCACAAAAGCATTGCACAAAGTCACAACCGTCGTATTTTGGCCGTAACTTGAGGACCCCTATGCCTACACTGGAGGTTTTTAAAGTTTTGTCTGAAATGGTATAGGGTTTCCTGCCTGAGCAGGGGGTTGGACTAGATGACCTCCAAGGTCCCTTCTAACTTTATTATTATTCCATTCTATTTATTTTTTTTAAATTTGGTTACAGGTGTTTGACCTGGAAGAATCATTTGACGAACAAAGGGATAATTGTGTTACACTTTAATAATTGTGTGTCCTTGCTTTTGTGCGCTGGCTAAAATCTGCCTTTCTCTCAAATTTTGCTTGGAAGGGATTGTGACTTACACAAAAGTGTGGGCCAGGCACGACAGAGGAAAGAAATCCTATCGTCATAGAGATAGTCCTCAATTTACGACCATTGAGTGTGGCAATTACAGTCGTAACTCAATGGGGCTAGTAATGACAGAAAAATCCTATTGTCACACCGATAGTCCTCAAGTTACGACGGTCATTGAGTGTGGGCAGTAATGACAGAAAAATCCCATCGTCATAATGATAGTTCTCAAGTTACGACCGTTAAGTGTGGCAATTACAGTCGTCACTCATGAGGACCAGGCCTGACAGGATAAATCCCATCGTCACCCAGTCCTCAAGTTACGACCGTTGTCGAGTGTGGCAGTCATTCGTGAGGACAAGGCATGACTGGATAAATCCCATCATCACACCGATACTCTTCAAGTTACAACCGTCATTGAGTGTGGCAATTACAGTCGTCACTCGTGAGGACCAGGCACGACAGGAGAAAAAAAATCCTCTATCATATCCATAGTCCTTGAATTGCGACCGTCATTAAGTGTGGCAATTATAGTCATAACTCATGTGGTCCAGAAATGACAGGAAAATCCCGTCATACCGATAGTCCTCAAGTTAAGACCGTCATTGAGTGTGGCAAATTACAGTCGTAACTCGTGAGGACCAGACATGACCGGATAAATCCCATCATGATAGTCCTCAAATTACGACCGTCATTGAGGGTGGCACAGTCGTAACTCGAGTGGGTAAGTAATGACAGAAAAATCCCCTCATACTGATAGTCCTCAAGTTACGGCCGTTATAGAGTGGCAATTACAGTCCTCTCTCATAAGGACCAGACATGACAGGATAAATCCTATCGTCACACAGTCCTCAAGTTACGACCATTATTGATTGTGGCAATTACAATCATTCGTGAGGGCAAGGCATGACTGGATAATTCCCATCGTGACACCGATATGCCTCAAGTTACGACCGTCATCAATTGTGGCAATTACAGCTGTCACTCATGAGGACCACGCACGACAGGAGAAAAAAAATCCTCTCATCATACCCATAGTCCTTGAATTACGACCATCATGAAGCGTGGCAATTATAGTCATAACTCATGTGGCCAGGAATGACAGGAAATCCTCTCATCGTACACAGTCCTCGAGTTACAACTATAATCTGGCAATTACAGTCGTAACTCGAGTGGGCCAGGAATGACAGAAAAATCCCGTTCTACCGATAGTCCTCAAGTTACGACCGTCGTCGAGCGTGACAATTACCATCGTCATTCGTGATACCTGTAAAGGGGATCATCCCAAAACCGGATCCAATTTCATCCAAATGGGGGTCTTTTTTTGTGGCAGTCATTAAGCGAACACTCCCGTCGTTAAGTGAATCCAGGGTTTGCCCTATTTTTATTTTTATTTTCCGTAAAACGGGTTCGCTTAGTTATTTTTGAATTTCGGAAATCGTAAATAAATGCCGGTTTCTTTGGGGGGGGGAAATATATCGCAAAGGCGATCCGGAGTTGCCGAGAGGCCAAAATGCAAAGGCTGTAACCGCAGGACTCGGTCGTAAGTCTGGGCAGGGCACCGTCGTAAATCCGAGGACTCCCTGCCTTTTGATTGCCCCTTTAGAAAATATTCTAGCCTATCTAATAATCTTCAGACATTAGCCCTCTGTGCAAAAATCAGATTTTTGTTTAAAAATATATATCCCGTCTGTTCCCCGGATGCCCACAAGTTTGCTTGCAATTCCTTGGTGTTCTGGGTTTGAATCCTGATGCCAATTCCACACACACACACACACCCCGGTGTGTTCAACCTAGCCGTGATTTAATTCAACAGTGTACATAACCTGGATTGGTGTGGTCTTGTTGTTTCGTGCCGTCTTTCGTAACAGCCGAACGGCATTTGGCTAGTCCTCGACTTTACGACCGCCAATTAAGCCCCAAATTAAGCCCGGAGGGAGGCAATTCAGTCAATTTTGCCCCATTTTACGACTTTTCTTGCCACCGTTCAGTGAATCCCCACAGTCCTTCAGTTACTAACCCGGTTGTTAAGTGAATCATGGCTTCCCCATGTTGCTAAGTGAGACGTTTGCCCCCCCCCCCGGCCAGATCCCTTACCACCATTCATAAATGAATCACGGCAGCGGTTAACTCAGTTACCGGGTTGCGATGTGAACCTGGCTTCACCGTTGTCGAACGGTCGCAAACAGGGAATCAGGGGACTCCAAGACGCTGCGACCGTCGTAACTATGAGTCAGTTGCCAAGCGTCTGCATTTGGATGACGTGACCAGAGGATGCTGCGACCGTCATAAATACGAGTCGGTTGCCGAGCGTCTGAATTTTGATCACGTGATCCTGGGACGCTATGACCGTCATAAATACGAGTCAGTTGCCCAGCGTCTGAATTTTGATCACGTGACCCCGGGACGCTGCGACCGTCATAAATATGAGTCGGTTGCCCAGTGTCTGAATTTCGATCACGTGACCTCTTGACATTGCGACCGTCATAAATACGAGTCGGTTGCCCAGCGTCTGAATTTCGATCCCATGACCCCGGGACGCTGCGACCATCATAAATACGAGTCGGTTGCCCAGCATCTGAATTTTGATCACGTGACCACTTGACACTGCAACCGTCATAAATACGAGTCGGTTGCCCAGCGTCTGAATTTTGATCCCGTGACCCCGGGACGCTGCGACCGTCATAAATACGAGTCGGTTGCCCAGCGTCTGAATTTTGATCACGTGACCCCGGGACGCTGCGACCG